AAGGGTGACAAAGTGGCCAGGGGTGTTGTTGTAGAGGTTGAGTTAGCCAGAGAGGCAGTCTGACCTCACAAAGCTATAATCTTTTTTTATCTTGTAAATCCCTTTTTTGCAATAGTGTATATTTTCTCCTCTTTTTTTTTTTAATATGCACAGCTTTCTTTGATATCTGTGGTAGAATTGGCTTATCTCGAAATGTTTCGTGCTTCTGTTTACCCTTTTTTGGGCTCGAACCGAGCTATAAAAAGTGTCTTGCCCTTTTGTTGAGCCTTTCGGACTCAAATCAAGCTGGAAAATGCTTTGTTCTTTTTTGGAGTCTCTTAGACCCAAACCGAGTTAAGCTAAGTACTTTGCTTTTTCATTGAGCCTCTTGGACTCAAACCCAGCTGGGCTAGGTGCTTTGTTCATTTGTTGAGTCCCTTAGGCCCAAACTGAGTCGGGCTAAGTGCTTTGCTTTTTTATTGAGCCTCTTGAACTCAAACCAAGTTGGGCTACGAAATGGGTCTTGCTTATTTGTTAAGCCTTTTTTACCCAAATCGAGCTTCTAAGCGAAAAAATGAAGAATCCATCATCTGTCTAAACTGTTCCCTTGATATTACTGAAAGGAAATGAACATGAGAGTTACATCTTGTCAGCACAATCATTCCATCTTGAAACATGGCTATTGATGCTTGGATTCCACGATGCCATGAACCTAAAGCATTGAATGCGCTTAGTGCACATTCGTCGCTGTTAACTGCTACTTTTAGGAGTGAACCACCTGCAAATGGCTCTTGTTTAAACCTTTTCTGCCAGGCTTTCTCATGCACCTTCTTTCCCGAGTGCTATCTGCATCTCTATTTCTTTTCTTCTTTTAACCACCATTGATTCTTCTTTGCAAGAAGCTAAGACCAAACTTTTTAGGAATAGAGCCCTTTGTGGTATGGAGGACCCATATTTGGCTTCCTTCTTGGTGCTTAGTACCATGTTAATGGACTAGCTGTTGGAAATTAGCGAACGCTATAGTTTCCTGATTGGTGTTTCGGTCCATGTTCCAACACTGGATTCTCCACGCTACACTTACAAGGCTTAGAGAGCCTGTTACTTCGAGTATGCTTTTGAGGCTATTCTAAGGTTTCCCATATTCCCATTCATCGAAATCGTTCTTCGCTTCCCCAACTTATGCCCTACTTGGCTTTCGATGGAGGGATGGGGTGTTTTGTTGGTATCAGCATCTTCTAGAGTCTGTGTGAGCTGGAGCCTTTCCCCAATATGACAAAGTTCCTTCACCTCTTTCGCTTGGCCCCATTCCTTTTGGTTTTTACCAATTCTTCAAGAGGGATAGGGCACCTGAGTTGATCATTGACATTTTCGCTTCCACTGTTGGGTAAGAGAGCAGTTATTTCTTCGTCTGAAGGGATGCCTAGGAGTTTGCAAGAGATATGGTTGAGGCTCTTCGTGTCCCTAAACTTTGGGACGTTCCAAAGGACTCAAGTGAGTTGATGTTTCCTTGAGATTCTTTTCTATCATACTAGTTTTCCTTTTGACTTTTCTTTGTTATTGCAGTCGAGAGACCTCCATTGAGTCCATTTGAACTGACAATGATAGCTGGTGCTGATAAAGGTCGGCCAAGGTCTTTTAGGAATTTAGTTACTACTAAGAGGCTCACTCTTCGCCACCTTCATCCTGTTTCCCACATGGAAGAGGTCCCTAATCTTGACGAGGCATTAGAGGTGGGCCTTGATATGGATCCAAATCAGAAACTATTAATGAATGATAGTGCACTGTTTGAGAATTCAGGTCAATATCGCAGATTTGTTGGGAAGCTTAATTATCTCACTATTACTCGACCGGATATTTCCTATGCAATAAGTATAGTAAATCAGTTCATGAGGTGTCTTAGAGTACCACATTAGGAGGTAGTAACTCGTATTCTGTAATATCTCAAACGAGCTCCTGGACTTGAATTGTTACATTGAGCTAATGGATATTAGAGTGGAAGATTTCTCAGATGTTGACTGAGCTGGCTCTCCTTCTGATCGGAGATCAACTACTAGTTATTGTACTTTCTTAGAAGGTAACATTTTCTCATGAAAAAGTAAAAAACAATCCATGGTAGCAAGATCCAGTGCTGAGGCTGAGTATAGGGCAATTGCGCATCCGGCGAGTGAGTTGACTTGGCTATTACATTTCCTCCAAGAAATTGGGTTTCCAGTTCAACTTTCTTTACAGTTGTTTTGTGATAATCATGCAACTATCCATATCGCTATCAATCCAGTGTTTCACGAGAGAACCAAACATATTGAGGTTGATTGTCACTTTATTCAGAACAACATAGTAGTTGGGGAGATTACAACTCTATTTGTGAAATTTGAAGATCAGCTTGCAGATATGTTTACCAAAACATTGAGTCGTACACGTCTTACAACGATTTGTTCCAAACTTGGATTATATGATATATATAGTCCAGCTTGAGGGGGAGTGTTAAAAATATTAGGGTAGTATGTATAAATTGTTAATAGTAAGAGGGTGTATGTGTAATTCTTATTATTATGAATTAACTATAAATACAAGTGATGTATAAGAGTTAGGTTAAGTTTTTAACCTCTCTCTATTTTCTCTCTAATATTATGTTAATCCTCTATACTTGACAAATACGATCAAAAGCTTTTGTCATATCAATCTTTAGGAGCATGAGGCCTCCTTTCCCCTTTTCCTTTTCATTTGGTGTATGATGCCATGTGTAAGGATTGTGTTTTCAGGAATGTTCCTTCCTGGCCCGAAGGCTTGGTCTGGATGTGGTCTAAGATGGTTTGCAGGATTTTTGAAATGAGTTTATAAGTGACATTACAAAGGCTAATAAGTCTAAAGTGATGGACTCTGGTTAGCTTAGGGGTTTTGGGGATGAGGCGTATGTGTGACCTATTTAGCTCACTGAGCATTCTACTACCAGCAAAAAAGGCTCTATTAGTGTTGATGACATAACAGACATCCCATCCGGCCTTGGTGTATTGAGAAAAGTGTTTCTTTTATCTGTTTAGGGGAAGGGATTGCACATAGGGTAGCGTAAAGATCAGGGGTGATTACTGGTGGTACTAATCCTTCTAAGTCTAAGGGAAAGGATGGATTTTGGGAAGAGAACAGTGGCTGAAAATTATGAGTAAATTTAGTACCTATATTATTCATGTCTGTGATCCATGTTCCATGTTCCATCAAAAAGCGTGAGAAATTTGATCAAATTCCTTCGGCATCTGATCACCGTTGTAATAAGAAAGAATTTTGTATTAGCATCTCCCTCCTTCATTCATCGAATTCTGGATCTCTGTCTCCATGAAGTTTTCTCCCTCTTCTGTTGCTCCACCAGTTCATGTTTTAGAGTCCTCTCCCCTAGCATGTTATCTTTTGCGGGTTTTGATTTGTTGGAGGATATCAATCCCACTTTTGATGAATTTAACTCTTTGAATACAACTCCCAAACTTTGATCTATTCCAAGCTATCAGGCCTTTTTTTGTGGCGTGCATTTTCCTATAAAATCTGTATGCATGAGAGCCCTTTTCCTGTGTGGTCCAATGGTTCTTTACAACAAGATGCCTTAATGGGTCTCTGATCCACATAGCCTCAAATTTAAAAGGTTTATTTATAGAGCTTTTACTCTCAAGGTATTAAGGAGGATTGGGGTATGATCAGACTCTATTGCAGGCAAATGTCTGATGGTGGCCTCTGGGAATAACATTCTCCACTAGATTTTAATAATGCCTCTATCGAGCCTCTCTCATGTTTGCAAATCCTGCTCTTTTGTTTGACCAAGTATATGGGTTCCCACTATACTATATCCCAAATCAACTAGCTTTTTTTTCTGTGTATGAGATCTCCAAAACTGCCCTTAAAAACTCCAATATAATCTAACCCCAATCGAATTTAATAGTAATGCACATGGATCTAGGAATTACCTGCTGTCTTTGTGCACAAGTTAAAGTTTGAAAAATGACTATCTTTGGTAAGTTTCATTATAAATATTGTCAACAATGTCAAATAGCCTTTTCTTCATATACCTTACCTAGACCTAGGAAAGAACAAAAGAGGGTAGATTAGAAACCTCTGGTAAAATGCCCGCCCGTAACCCAATAGTTCATTTTAGGGATTGGCGACTTACCCATTCAGTGACTTTGGCACTGGACGTTCCCAAAATGGGTACTATCGGGTCGGGTGAATTCAATAATAGACGCCTGTTGGCATTCCAGCCTTCCTTCGCCTTTCAGGGCCTACCCGAAAGAGAATCCAGTACTTCTTGGTCGTGAATATCTGAACTGGTTGTTCACTGTTCAAGAATTCTTGTTTAGGCAGTTCATACCATCCATACATAGTGTTTTGATCTAAGATTTCAATTCTTCCGTGTTTCGGCAGTAGCATATTGTTCCATGGAGCTAGGGTCCAAAATATGGAAGAAACAGGCGTTTCCACGACTCTACCGATGATGCAAAAGGCCTACCCCTCCTTTTTCACGTTGAGAGACTATATTGTTGAAATCTCCAACATACAGGCTGGGACCATTGAAATCTTCTTCAATTTGGGTCATGGTGTCCCAAAGCTTGTGTTATTGTGCTTTTACCGCTGGAGCATATACTCCATTTATAGCCCATTGAAATTTTGGTGGCTCTGAAAATATGGTGACAGAGATTATGTTGGGGTTTGATAGAATGACCTCTGCGTCAACTCCTCTTTTCTCCATCCTAGACATATACCTCCTGACAACCCATAAGATGGTTGAATTTCAGAGTGGGGGAAACCTAAACCGGTGAGTGTTTTTTTTTTTTTTTGATGTTGTGAGTTTTGTTTCAGAGATGAAAAGGAAATTAGGTTTGAATTCCATTATTTGGGTTCTTTCGTAAGTGTCGAACTGTCGAGGTAAGAGCTAGCCCTTGACAATTCCAAACGTACCCAATCATGATGGAGGTGAGGGGCATGGTCAGGGCCGCATCCTCAGCCATTGTAAATTCCCCAGACCAATTCACTATAGTGCTCTCTTAATTTGCAGGGATGGTTTTACTAACCTTCCTGGTAAACTTCCTAACCAACTTACGAGTTGTAGAAGAGGATTCCTCATCTGCTTTTCCTGTTGAGGATTTGGGGATCTTTTGCTCTGCTAGGTTATCTTCTGGCTCTAGAACCCTGTATTCCGTCGTTGGCGTTGGGTTATATGCAGATATTAGCTCCAAAAGCTCCAAGTCTATGAAAATGGTTATAGATCCATCTTCCTTGCTGATAGAACTTGGTGCATCGAGATCTATCCACCTCTTCTAGTGCACTCCGTTTTAGTGAGTCTGGTGAACACTATTGCCATACAATCTTCGACAATGGACAAGTATGGGGCTTTAAGGTTGGCGGTGGGGGCTGAGTTCCATTTTGCTTCCATTGTTTCAGAGAGTCGATCGTCAGTTAGGGTTTTTGGGTTGATCGATTGACATTGGGTAATTTGGGTGATTGGAGCAATGTTGGGTTTTGGAGTTCGGTTTACCTGTGTGTGTGTGGTTCTTATGGAGTTGAGAGGGCTTTGCAGGGTTTGGGCCTTTCAGAGGTGGGTATTGTGGGTTTGTGTCAGTTTTGGGTTTCTCAGTCCAGTGTTGCTTGGATAAATTATTGGTTTGTGTTCTGGTCACTTGGGAGACAGTTGATGGGTTGGGCTATGTATTGGGCTTGTGGTTATTTGTCTCATACAAACTGTGGGTATTGGTTTAACCGAGACTTTATAGGTAGGGCTGTCAAAATTCAACACGACACGATTAACCGATGTGAATCGACACGAATTAAGCAAGTTTGTGTTAGATGCTAACGGGTTTGGATGATAAACGGGTTGACACACCAAACACGTTTAATAAACAGGTCATGTTTGGATGAGACCTGTCAAACCGTTTATTACACGTTTACCCGTTTAAATAAAATTAATATAATAATAAATTAATAATTATTTTAAAAAATTAACAAGAAAAAAAGAAGTAAATAAATCAATAAAAAAAAAGTGAAGTAACAGTTCAAAGACAAAAGAGAGGAAATGAGGAGCACTTCAAAGACAAAGACAAATCAATGTCTTTTGTTTTTGTCTCACAATAGAAAATGAGAGGAGATGGGGAGGGTTGAGTTGCCTATAAAAAATAATGACCTCTTGCTTTTTTTTTAAGTCTTCAAGTCTTATTTTTATGAGATTTGACTAAAAATTTCTCTTTTTTGAGGTAAGTGCAATTGACAATAAAAAAAAGTGGAGTATTAAAATTTGGTAATATAATTTTTTAAAAATTAAACGGGTTAAACAAGTCGTGTCATGTTACCCATTTATTAAACGGGTCGTATTTGTGTTAAAATTTTTTACCCGTTTATTAAACGTGTCATGTACAAGTTTATATATTTTTCATCCGTCACCCGTTTAACCCGACACGTTCGACACCTCTAATTGTAGGATATCAACGACTCTCTGCATTTTGTGAAAGGTCAGAGATATGGTGGGAGTTTTGAGTGTGGGTGTTTTTTTCGAGAGATTATAGCTGGATTGAGAAGGGACCTTTGAGTATTATTGGCTTTGGGATTGTGGAGGCAGATATGGGAACTTGTGCAAAGAAGGGAGTGAGAAGAACACCGTAGGAGATTTATGAAAGAATTAGTATCTTAGTTATGGCCCATTTTGTAGGAATGATAGAAAATAGATGGAAAAGATTTTTCATTCCTAGAGGGAAGAAATATATTTTTTTTCATTTATGTTTAGTATGATAGATGAAAAATTGAAGGGATACATTTTTCCTTTATTTGGTATTAGATAGAAAGGAAAAATATATATACCAAATTTGTCATTACACCCTCACATCTAAGGGGTGAATTTTTCTATAGTAATTATCATGAAGGGTTTGGTCAAAGGGTTGAATTGCAAAACACATGAACCACCTGTGCAGCATACATCCCCTCAAACTAGATTTCATGCTTGGATCCTATATCAAATGTTTTTTTTTAATTAAAGAACGAGAAAAATTTTATTGAATAAGAATCAATAAAATTTTTAAAGACAACTTGGATCCTATATCATGTCGCTTTTTTTTTTTTTATAACCTCAACAATACAAGGAAATTTTATTGATTTAAAATTGGATTACACCTAGCTAGTGGGAATACCCCTCGATGCAATCTAATTACATGAATAAGATTAAAGAAAATAAAACAAAATGCATGATTTTTTTTAAAGCAAATTTTATTGATAAACTTCAAAATTTACAACAACCAAATTTTTACAAGACACAACAAAGCCAAAAGATGGCTTCAATTCTCAAAACATAACAAAAGAACAGATTTCATTCTTAGTAGCATAAAACCCTCCAGAGGCAACAGTTTCATGCTGAATGGCATAAGGACCTAGCATAGCATGCACAGCCCTATGTGCAATTGCACTTCCAATACCAAAAGCCATGCCTTGAGCTATGGTTGAGCCAATGCCTCCAAGCATGGATCCACCACTGCCACCTTGAACAGGAGTCGGAGCCGGAGGTGGAGCTTGGTGTGCTGGTGCAGGGGGATTATGTGCTGGTGCAGGCCGAGGAGCTGGACGGGATCTTCCACCATAGCTTCGGCGAGCCATGATTTCTCAGGTAAAGGCGGCGGAACCCTAGACAGAGAACTTGAGAAGATAAAGAGGTCAAAAAAAGAAAGGGTAAATAGTCAATTCACAAAAAGTCCATCTTCCCTCCATTTTTCGCCCAAAAATGGGGGAGGAAATGTTTGGTGGGCGCCAGGGAAGACATTTCCCTTCCATTTTCCATTCCCTCCAATTTTCCCCCCAAACCAAACAACAGAAAGTGGATCTTTTCCTCCCACTTTCCTTCCTCTATTTTCCATCCTCCTTATTTTCCTTCCAACCAAACAGGGGGTTAGGGTGTGTTTGTTAAGGCAAATTCAGTACTTAAAATAAATGTATTCAACACTTATTAATTAAGCTCGTTCAATAACTAAAATTAAAATCTCTTAATATATTATGTGTTCCTTTAAAATACGCTAAAATATTAAATAGGAGATGTCTTACTTAATTCTAAAAGCTGAAAGAGTTAAAGAGGATCCTCTTTTATAATTTTATTAGTATGATAATTTTATCCTGAAACGTTTCACAATCCTATTAAAATTCTCAAGTATTCTTTTCTCCAAAACCCTCAATATTCCCTAGCCTCCATCGTCTGCCAAAGAGATCAAACAGGTAAGGTATCTTCTCCTTTCTTCCTCCTATCTTCTACTTTTTTTTTTTAATCAAGTAACTTCTCTTGCTCACACACATATTAACACTACGCGCACACATACACATTGCACACTGCACACACACACACAAACATTGCACACATAATAACACGTATACACCCACATAAATTATATACACATACTGCCCACACAATGATTTTTTCCTGATCAGATTTGTTCAATTTTTTTATGAATGTTTGTTGAATTTATTATTCTTTAATTCTTTTCTAGTTCAATTCTTTCTTTGTATTGGACTAATAATTTATTTGTTTATTCAATTTACTTTTTTTTTGAGAATGTCAATAAACAACTACTTTTGAAGGTTAATTGTCTTGTGTTTTTCAATACTTTTAATCTTCAATATCTTTGTATTATATTAACTATTCTAGTAGGTCACGATAATAATTTGACTATGTTAAACAATACCATCAACATCTAACCCTGCATGGTATTCTTTTAAAAAATGGTTGTATACAGATGGCTTCAAGTGATAGTGCTAGAGCAAATTCGAAGGATCTAGAATTGCTTAAAATTTTCATAGATTTGTGTGTACAACAATCATCCGATAAAGGAAGAACTGGAAATAGTTTGTAGAAGGATCTTGGGATTATATGAAGGTAGCTTTAAAAGAGCAGAAGAACGTTGACTTCTCCCTAAAGCAATTAAATAATCAATGGGAATATCTAAGAACAAAATATGAAATATGGTCAAAACTAATATCAAAAATTGGGAATGGTTACGATCTAGAAATGAATACTATAAATTGGAGTTCAGTAGAATGGGAGGAGTACATAAAGGATTACTTGCAGTGATAAAGGTATTACTTGTTGTAGATTGGGAGGAGTAATATCAAAAGAATATTTATTAAATGTAAACTACAATATGATAATAATGATTATAGTTTATGTTATGAATAACTGAAATACTTGTAGTGATATATCGTGATTTTTTATTAGATAAATACATATTTTATAAATATTTTGAAAGTAAAGAGTGAAAGGCTAAAACTAAAAACTAATTTATTTTCAGATGTCAACTTTGTGTAGTTATCACACACATTGGTTCAATTTATTACTTAAATTTCAGTGAGTACCAAGCAGTTCACGAATTAAAAATCCAACAGTCAGCTTTTAATTTTATCAAACATCACCTTAGTTGGAAAAGACGCCAGAGAAAAAGGAGAGCTCTACAGGGAGAGGAACGACAGGCCTAACATCATTCTTGAAAAAGTGTGGGCTTTAGGCCCCATTTTTAAGGAATGCCCTAAATTTTTAAATACCACAAATAGCCTGTAAAATCCGAGTAAATTTGAATTTTTATGAAAAGGGCAAAATGATAATTTGTCTCTATAGTGCTGGTTGAAAATCTAAAATTTTCTAGAACTCAGATGATGAAACGGACCTCATCGTTGGATTTGTCTCACGAAATCTAGTTATCCAGTCAATTTTTGTCGAATTCTAAGACAGTCAAATTTTTTGCACTTTATGAAACGATCAGGTGTCGTGTGACCTAAATAAACAAGATCGAAAATTAAATTTTGAAAAGTGAAAAATAATTTAAAGTTAGGTCAAATAAAAATATTTCGAACTTGAATTAGGACGAAATTTAATTGATTTGGGACAAAATCAGACCCGAAAATGGCAGACGTGTGGCTCAACGAGAGCCAAGCAAATGAGGGGTATAAAAAGGGGAAAAATCAGATTTTTCCCCCATAATCTCTATTGTGTTTTCCGAGAGAGAGAAGAAGAAGAAGAAGAAGAAGAAGAAGAAGAGAGAGAGAGAGAGAGAGAGAGAGAAGCTAGGGTTTCTTCAAGTTTTCTTCTTGTGATCTAAGGCCAATCTTTGGTCGAATCACCTCGGGCCGAGAACAAAGTTTGTTCTACTCGACGTGGGCTACAAAATCATGCCAAAAATCGAAGATTTTGATAAAGTTCCAATGACGGATTTTGGGAAATCAAGGCTTAAATCTTGATTCGGGTCTGGGGAGTTTTGTTACCACTTATTTTACGCTTCAAGAGATAGAGTTTTTTTCCTAAAAAAAGTTTATTTTTAACCTAGGGTTGATATATGGAATGAGTAATGTGTTAGAGATTTAATCTCATGTATAGCACATACCTATGATAATTAAAATGTGGAAATGGGTATTGAGGATGATTAAAATCAATTCTAGCATTAATTGGGTATTTAGAAATTACTTGTTGTGATTTTTTGAAAAATGTGTTGGTTGGGCATGCTATGTGTTTACATTTATGCCTATGTAGATTAAGTGTATTATTTGTATTGATTATGTTATAACATGCTTAGGATTGGATGTTGGTATATGCATTACGATATATTGACATTGAGGTTGTTGATGGTGATTATATGCTTATGATGTAATTGGTCATGAAAAATGTTGAAGGATGATTGAAATGTTCATATTGTGCTCACGACATATTGAACATGATATTGGAATTGCAAGCGTATATTACATTGCATATGCACGAAAAACATCGCATTCATGGACGTTAGACATGAGTGTAGGTGTGTGCATGGTTGTGATCAAACACCACTCTTGGTGGATGATGCGTGGCTTTGATAAAGTTGGACCAAGGTTTGACTGAGTCACACATTTGCACTGAAAATAAAGTTGGGGTTAGTAAAAAGGGCTAGACTGTCTCTCGGGTGCAAGACCCAGTGAGTTGGATATACACTCTGTTGGTATGGAATCCATAAAGTGTGTCGATGTACACAAAGTCGTTGGTGGAAGTCCATAGATGCAGTGTCGGTTGGGTACCCTTTGGTGGAAGTCCATAATACGCACCCAAAGAAAGACTTAGGAATTTTAATAGTCATTGGATGTATAACATCAATGGCGAGGGCTCAGAATATCCGGATTCATATGCATGGCATTGCATGTGTTATGGGAGCCGGTGAAGGCTCGGATTGAGTTACATGTGTGAGTTTCATCTCATAACATGACATGGCATATAGGATTTCACCATTGAATTGCATATTCTTGAATGGAGTATTGGTTGCTTGTTGAATTGCAAGTAACATTTCATATGCATCTATGTTGGGGAGTAGCCTCTTTAGAAGATACCCTATTAAGCGTGGCTCACCCTTTAGAGGGACAATATTTCAGGTGCGGGGTATGCACCGGTGGACGACTCTCACTCGGGCCCTCAGTGAAGAAGAAAAGTCGATATGTGGTTTTAAACCATGTTTTTTGTAAAACTGTTATGTAATTTAGTTTTGAATATGTAATGGTATGTAAGGAATAGTAAAGCAAACACATATGGACTATGTTTAATGTAAAATTCTATGTTATATGAGTTTGGTTTGATATTATATGTGATTGGAGGAGTTGAGTTTGAAAACAGATTGAATCGGGAAAAACTAGAAACTTCTATCGCTAGAACGTTGATTACCTATTGATAGAAAAATTCTAATAGGCCTAATGGTAGAACATTTCCAGTGGATTCTCCTACCGGTAGAATAATTCCAGAAGGTTTTTCTACTGGTAGAACATGGACTTCTTCTACCGGTAGGTTTCCTCCAGTTTTTGAAAGTTTAAGTCCAGCGAACCTTTTTACTAGTAGGACTTTGAGAACTTCTACTGATAGGTTTTCTTCAATTTTCAAAAATTTAAAAGGCTTTTGCTATATCTTCGGGCATCTATTCTTTTTTCTCAAAGGAGTTATATGGGGTATTAATAAGTATGAATTGATGTATTTGGGCCTTGGAATGGTCAAATAATTAAATGTACACAGGTTTGACATTTGGAAGTGCCCGGTACAAGGAAGACTCTGCTCAAACTCTATATCGTTGTGACCCTGATAAATGGGATGTTGTGTTGTGATACTGGGTTATGCGACACGCATAGTTACTTCCACGGTTTGATGGGTGATCATCGGGTTGACAAAGGACCCCCAGTATTAGAGGCGTCACATAGCCCATGTAAAAAAATTAAATTTATCAATACTATAAGCCCTATAAAAAGACTTTATAAACATATAAGCCCAATCCAAAAAAATTATGTTCAATCATTTACACACATAGTCCAACCCAAATATTAAATTTCCAAAAAATTAAAAAAAAATTATGTTCAATCATTTTTGGTTTTTTATTTAACTAAGAAAAATTAAAATCATTAACCAATGATAGTTTAAAACAATATTGTTTAGATCTCGAATGTTTCTTAAAATATTAATTTTTTTTGACATTGATGACTTAGATTTATTTTTAGAATTAAATGTTTTAAAAGAAATTTTACAAACGAAAGAAAATACTCCAATTGAGATACTAAATATATACACTACTTATAAATGTCAGCATCTGTAAAAAATTTTGATTTCATATTTTATCCCTAAT